TTGCGGCACACAGGTTGAGAACCACTGCTCTAGTGCCTCCTTGTCTTACCCTGCTATACACACACTTCTGTTACAGCTAAAAGCTGGTGTTAGGAACCAAACAGAGTAGAATAGAGAATGATGCAAATTTTGGCCTAACAATTTTGCTTCTGCCTCTCTCGTGTATTATCAAAGAACACATGGATCTTGAGGGGCAAGGTCTAGGAATTCAAAGTAAAAGGAGCACTAGAAAGAAATATTGAATGCGAAAAATAGCTTTTTCATGTAGTTAAGGGTAAGCATTTTTCCAGCTATTCTCAACACTCATATTGAATCCTAAAAATGGCTTTTCTCTTGTAGTTAAGAGTAAGCATTTTTTCCAGCTATTCACTTCAAAATCACTTTAATAAGCTAAAGCTGTATAGGCTGGTACTGCTGCATCTCAAAAATATATCTGGAATATTTTCCAGGATTATAAAAATTTTTAAGATACATTGGAATAAAGGCCTAGGTAAAACATTTACATTATTTTTATATGCATTACATTGTATTTTACATGCATTATTTTAAAGGAAGATGAGAATTATCTTATAGATTCCCATCATAAAATATTTCATTCACAGATGGACCATATCTAATTTCCAAAATGTTTGTTTTCTACCTCCTCATGACATAAAACAAAGTTACCTACAATTGTTGTTTAGTAATGTCTCTTTTTCTCTTTAAATACAATGGAAACTTTTACTCATGGTACCTACTAATAATTGAGTTATCTATGATTTTTATATTTGATTTTATGCAATTATTCCTGAAAGCCAAATATCAGAGTCACACACACACACACACACACACACACACACTATTTAAAGAATTAGTAACATGCCTTTTATTTTATTTTAATTTATTTGTTTGTTTTGAGATAGGGTTTCTCTGTGCAACATACTCTGGCTGTCCTAGAACTCACTCTGTAGACCCGGCTGGCCTCAAACTCAGAGACTCATCTGCCTACTGAGTGCTGAGAATGAAGGTATGTGCCACCATGCTTAGCTCAGAATAATATGCATTTTGAAAACGTATTTCTCGCTGGGTGGAGGTTGCACATGCCTTTAATCTCAGCACTTGGAAGGCAGAGGCAGGTGGATCTCTGAGTTTGAGGCTACAGAGTGAATTACAGGACAGCTAGGACTATACACAGAGAAACTGTCTCCCAAAACCAATTTCTTTCTCAAGTGAGATTGTCTCAAGGAGGGGGGGCAGGATGGAGAGATGGCTTAGCAGCTAAGACAAAGTACTGCTCTTATAGAGGACCTGATTTTAGTTCCCAACACCCTCATCAAGGTGGCTTACAACCTGGTTCACAAACACCTGTAACTTCAGGTCTAGGGATATACAATACCTTCGACTTGATTCCACAGGTGCCTGCACTCATATGCATATACTTCCCCTCCACACACATATGCACATTATTAAAAATAGGAAAATAATTCTTAAAAAAGAAAATCCATATTTCTTTTCTTAAATACCCTATAATCTTATCTGTGAATTGCACCACATTGCAACAAATTAAGGATAATGGCTCATTGTCTTATTTATAACATTTGTTGCATTTTATTATTTTAATCTTGGATGATTATATTTTAAAAAACGTGTTTTATGATCATTTCTCAGTATTTTTCATAAAGCTTCCTGGAATTGTTTTAATATAGTTGCATTAAAAGCCTTTTTTTGTTTTCCGGGTTTTAGTAAATCTGACAATAAGTATTTGGCTGTAGGATATTTGTGTACTCTGTGAAGATATATTTCTGTGATTGGCTTAATAAAGAGATGAATGACCAATAGCTAGGCAGGATTTCTGGGGACAGAGAGGACTCTGTGAAGAAGAGAAGCAGAAAGACGCCAATGAGAGTCTAAAGAATTCAGGTATTTGGTGCAGATTAGAGGTAACCAAGCCACGAGGCAAAATGTAGATTAAAAAATATGGGTTAATTAAATTATAAGAGCTAGTTGGGGAAAAGCCTAAGGTGAAGCCACACTTTCATAATTAATAGTAAGTTTCCATGTCATTAATTGTGACCTGGCAACACAAAGAAAAATCCATCTATAGTCATTTTGCTAATTAAGTTAGAAAGTATGTTCTGCAAATCTTGTAGGTAAAATTCTAGCCCCAACACTTTATTTTAAAAAATATTTTAGAAGTAAATGCCAACAACATTTTTTTCAGAAATTGTTGGATTGGCAATGGTGTAATGGAATTACCAATACTTCCATTTCCCTTCTTGTCTTGCATGTACCTTCTTGAATAGGTTGCTTTCAAGTAAGAAGTAAGGGTGATAATTAAGAGCCATCTTATAAGTCTTGATAAAACATTTTGTTATAATTTCCCAGAAAGGGAAAGAACAAATGATTCTAAAAGCTCATAACAAATCTCTTTGTAGGACAAACCATTTTCAATCCATTTTGTGCAAAAGATCTTATCAAATAAGACTGCTTTAGTGGCAATAATAATAAATTGGTTTTGTGAGTTAGGGCGAATAATTCAGAAAGAATTGGAGAAATTGGGTGATGTCACTTTAACTAACTGCTTCCATTCCCACCTGTACATTTGTGTGAACAGATATTTATGTCAGTACTCACTACAGATATCCTAGTCATTTTATTAAGAGAGAAGTTGCTGATCAAATTTATCTTTATGTTTAACAATCACTTATCAAAATACATAATGTGGTAGTTGGTTGTGTTCTGATTTACAGGTATAGTTCTCTTTTTTAGATACTATGATAGAAGCAACTAAAAGATTTACAAGCACTGAAGTATCACACTAGGAAATTTATAGGCAAGAACAAATTTGATGAGAAAGGGGGAAATGTATAAAGTATTAAAAAATTAAAAGGTGTTTGTGCAAATTATAATGGCACATTTCAAAGTTCTTAGATGCTACTGGAGGCATTTAAGTGATTGAGAAACAATTTTACTTAACTAATTTCATTGTTTTTAGATATGCAGTGTTTATTGTGTAGCTCAAACTAGTCTGGAACTTGCTACATAGCCCAGGATAGCTTCAAACTCATGATTCTCCTACTTTGTCCTCCCCAGTTCTGGGATTACAGTTATGCACCAGCATATCTGGGTATAATTTTCAGTGTTATACTTCTGGCTTCTGATGTGGCAAGTTAAAGAGCTTAAATGTCACTACACCATTATAAAAAATAAAAAGGAAGAAATAACTGCTACTAAAGGGAGGAAGAGAAAGGAAGATGGGGAGACAGACACACACAGTGAAGAGAGGGAAAGGAAGAGTTAAGGAGAGAGGAAGGGAGGAAGGGAGGGAGGGACCAGAAATCCACAGGGAGAAACCTGAAGGTATCAGTGGCAGTAAAATGCAATGTGACAACTTGCCCAGTCTCATGTGGACCCATGTGAGAGTTGAAAATTCTGGGTCACCCAGACCCCCTGAATGTGGGTGTTAGTTGGGAGGACTGGGCAGTCTATGGGACCTCTGGTAGTGGGTCAGTATTTATCCCTAGTATACGAATGGACTTTGGGAGCCCATTCCACATAGAGGGATACTCTCTCAGCCTAGACACATGGGAGAGGGACTGAGCCCTGCTACAAATGATATGACAGACTTTGAAGATCCCCCAAGGAAGGCCTCACCCTCCCTGAGGATCAGAAAGGGGATGGGATGGGGGTTGGGGGCAAAGGGGGAGGATGAGAGGGTGAGGGAACTGGGATTGACATGTAAAACAACCTTGTTTCAAATGTAAATTAAAAAAGGGAAAAAAATTCACAGAAAGAAAGAGAGGGAGGGAGGGAAGAAATGCTGAGTCACATAGTTAATTGTGACCTGCCCATACCAAACGACCTCTGAGCTGAGATCGCCTAAATGGCTTAAGTCCACATGCTGCAGAGGTCTTCCCAGGTCTCCAGTCACCCAGAAAACTGCAGGTGGCAGTACTCACTCTAGAGACAGGATAAAAGGAAGTGAGCAAGAAATAGTTTCTCCTTTGGGTCCCTTCATATTACTTGCTTAGTAGGCATTGCTTTTACTATCATGTCATTCTCAAAGAACTTCATCCAGTAGTCACATGGTTACCACCCTTAGCAAAATCTGCAAGTTTTCCCTCTGAAATTTCCAGAAAATGTTTTTTTTTTTTTTTTTTTGTTTTTGTTTTTTTGGTAATACTTATAGAATATAACATGGTATTAGATACTGGAATGTCCTGGCTGTGCATTTTCCCCCCTTAGGGATCTCAAGGTTTATGGTGCCTAGTCCAGTGTGGCACCACAGAAACTGATCCCAGTGGATAAATTTGAAACTAATCACAGTGGATGGATGTACTGCTTCTAGAGCTACAAAGTGACATGCATGTCTCCACATTCAAGTACTATATTTTCACCAAAACTGGAATAGGTAAGCCTTCTGGAAGATGAAACATTAGTCTACACCAGACCATGTTTCTCTTTCTATACTCTTGGGAAATAAGTCAGCTCCTTCATTATGAACCAAGATGGGCTGGACGTATAATTCTTCATTTCTTTATCACGATGTATTTGGTTATATAAACAATTAGGCCTATCATATTAGCATAGTAGGTTCCTAAGTGCTACAAGTCACACACAAATAAAATAGATAATGACCTTGTGTACCGCCAATCATCCCTTTAGTTCTACAAGATTTGAAATCAGAGTGATATTGCATTTTCCTTGATCCTCTAGAAAATTTTAGGATCGTGTCACATATAGCAGGAGAAAAGCATTAATGGAATATGTGAGGTGGATACCCTTGGTGCTATCATTAATCTGTCTCTTTCCCCACCCCCCATCTCTGGTACAATGTTACACAATCCCATAATGTAATTTCTCCTATGGTTTTAAATGTCATTTTGAATTTAAAGTGAGGTGGTATAGGCTGAACTGGAAACATTAACAATGTCAGACTTTATTGATAGATATCTGAAAGGGATATTTTTCAGTAAGCATATTATAAGGGAGTTTCTGGACAAAGAAAATGCACTTCTTACCTCCTACCAACAAGTAGCTGTTGGGAAACAGTGTTTTTGCTTGCATAAGTGCCCTTGCATGACCTGAGTGGAAGAGGTCAAATATTCCATCTGCATACACTCTAACAGGCCTGTCAACTGTAGAAGAAAGAGACACAGTTAACACAATTGCAGAATAAGGAAGCCCCATTACCTTCTATCATTACAGTGCCATAAGTTTACTTACAGAAGATACGATATCCACATGTTATCAGTTTAACATTAGTGCATGAAACTGATTTTTTAAAAATAGACTCTTATAAGGTTGTCAAAATACAACAAAAAATTTCAACAATACAACACACCATGTTACATAACAAGGAAAACAAATACAGAGCACTGGGAGTTCTCTTCACTTAGATGTCTGAACCAGTGGAGTGTACCTGTTACTGGGAAAACTGAGGTTCCCTTTTAGAGCTCTTCATTTTGTTAATTAAAGAATTTAGAAATGGACTCAAAAGGAGACCTGAGGACAATGCAGAGTTTAGGGGAAAATCCTGGCAGCCACCATGAAGATGGATGGAGAAATAGTCATGCCTTTTAAATGAGGCAGGGACTAGAAATAGATGATTATTAAGAAAGGAAAACTCATCCTCAAGAGTGGAAGTGAGGGGATGGGGGGGCATGCCTTTAATCCCAGCACTGGGGAAGCAGAGGCAGGCAGATTTCTGTGAGTTCCAGGCCAGCCTTGTCTACCGAGCAAGTTCCAGGACAGGTCCAAAGCTACACAGAGACCCTGTCTCAAACAACAACAACAACAAAAGAATGGAAGTAAAGGGCTGGAGAGATGGCTCAGAGGTTAAGATCATTGGCTACCATTCCAGAGGTCCTGAGTTCAAGTCCTAGCAACCACATGGTAACTGACAACCATCTGTAATGAGATCTGGTGCTTTCTTCTAGCCTGTAGGCAGAACACTGCATACATAATAAATAAAATCTTAAAAAAAAAGAATGGAAGTGAGCTAGTGATCTGAATAGAAACCCAAAAGCATCCAGCCATGCAGCATGGGGTCTTTTTGAGGTTCTCTACCCTCCCATTTGTATCTGAGGCTTTGTTTTATACAGGCTCTGTTCCTTGTATGATGGCAATGCCAGGGTAAGAACAGGCTTCTAATCTTCCTCTACAAACTTTCTTTTTCATGTTAATTTTTTAAAAGTCAGGATCTTTCTATGTAGCCTTGGTTGGCTTGGAACTCACTATGTAAACCAGACTGGCCTTGAACTTACAGAGATGTGCCTGTCATTGTCTCCCAAGTGCTGGGATAAAGGCGTGTGCCACCACATACAGCCACAATTATTTGGATATAGCTTTTAAAGTCCCTACTCTTTATCACATACTTGGGAACATCAAGGCCTCAGGAATTGAAGGGCCTGAAGAAAACTCCGAGTCTTGTTCTCAAAGACAGTGATACTTTGGTAGCTACTCAATGCTCAAATTGCTGCTCATTTTTAAGTTCCTTGGTGGCCAAAGTGAACTGTGATGGGGATGTTTCACTCCAGACATAGTCAAATGCTACAAAGCAAGGCTCATTTCATCTCAGAAGGCAAAATGTTTCCCAACATACCATTGTAAAAGGTATAAGAGCGAGCATGCGGCCAAAAAAAGGAGGCAGTTAATATATCAATTTTGTATATAGTGTTGATGCTCTGGGTTAGAAACATCCAATCATACTCTAGTCCTTTCTAGTCCTTCAGGATGCTATTGCTGAGCCAGACCAGAGACCCATTTCATTCTAATCAGAAGGGAATGCTGAGTGGTTGGGTTTCACCAATGTAGTGTGTAATGTGGGCACAAATGGGGGAAGAGGGTTGTTGTTATTTGGTATCTGCATTCTGAAAGCTGAGGAAGAGGAAGAGGAAAAGGAGGAGGAGGGATCGAGGAAGGGAGGGAAGGAGAGAGAGACAAAGAGAGAGAGAGAGAGAGAGAGAACATGCATGCATGTATGCGAGGTATGCATGTGGAAATCAGAGGATAACTTCAGAGAAGTTCACTCCTTTTGTGTTTTAGGACTCAAAGTCAGTCACCATGATAGTGCAGCAAATATTTTCATCCACTGAATTATCTCACCAGCATGCTGATTTTCTGTATAAACCTAAGAATCCTACTGACTTTTAAAATATATGCATGTATTATATTAATGCTATAAAATGAAGTATTTAGGGGATGGGGTATGGCCTCATAGTAGAGTGCTTGCTCAGCATGCACAAGGGTCTGAGTTCTAACTTCAGCACCACACACTGAAAAATGGAGAATTGAAAACTTAAATGATTTTGGATTTAGATTTAAAATTGTGATTATTTATTGATGCAACCCAACCTCATTAATTTAGAACATAAAGAAACATTACATTAATAGATTCAGATGGAACAATGTTGCTAATAAATTAAATTTCTCCAATAAAAAATATGGAGATTTTTATGTCAGATTGATAACTTAAACTGTTTTCAATTATATACTATTTTGAACAAACAGAATTGCTTTCACGGGATTATACTGTATTCTAAATAAGTCGCAGTAAACAGAAAAATGCTCTGAAATAACAAACTCTCTAATGAGGGATCTTGGATTTCAATGCTCTTATTCAATTGCAATTCAATTGAGGAAAATGTGTTTTAAGATATAAATCCCACAAGAAAGCAGATGGCAGTTTTGTGGAAGTTTTTGTTAATGATTCAGAGGTGATCAGGATAAATGAATTCAGGAAGCAGAGAGGAAGAAAAGTAAAGAAAGATGACATAATTACTGGGGAAAAGGCTATTTAGTAAATTTGAAGACTATCTGCATAGTTGATTTAGCAGTCAGATCACTTTTTAAATTGTAAAGTGTCAGCAATTTCCAGACTTGGAAACTCCTACAGGGCAAAGAGAGGAACCTGATTTCCTGGTCTCTTCAAGGGGGGGGGGAGGGGAAAAAGAGGGGCAGAGAGGGAGGGAAGAAGAGTGGAAGGGAGAGAGAGGGAGAAGGGAGAGAGAGAGGGAGACTGTGGATTGACAGAAGTTGCAAACACAGAGCAAATTGTTACAGTGGAATATTGTTTCTCTGCTGTATTCACACAACTTCACATGCTCAGGACCTGTGGTGTGTGTCTTCACTTAGCTTCAAGGCTAAGTGAGGACAGCACTTTACAGGGAATGCCCTTGTGCTGCATAAAGTAGGGGTTTGAGGTGAAAGGGATTTGTCTACCCAGTTATGACACCAGTTCTTTAGTCTGCTGGGATTTTTCAAAGCTTAAATGAGATCGGGGGAAGGACAGCCTATTGAGTAGCTGCCTATTAACTTCTACAGAACTTAATGTCCTTTTCTGCTCAGACCTGAATGAAGCTTATCCTTTAACTTCAGCTCAATTCTGTTTTCTAACTTGTTTTCATTTGGATCTTCATCTCACTCCTCCTGTCCCCATTCCCACCCTAGTGCCCCATAAATCGTGTATTGAAGGCTTGGTTCCCAGGCAGCAGTTCTAATGGGAGATGGTGGAAACAAGGAGTTGAGGCCTAACTAAAATTTTCCTCTTCCTAACTCCCCCTTGGGTATTTCATCAGAGTGATAGAAAGCTTACTAATAGACACCTGAATTTTCATTTAGAAAGCACTTGACTTTATTGTTGGGCTGTTATTTGACTTTATTGTTGGGCTGTTATTTCTCAGTATGTGGTCCCTGACCACCAATTTATGGATTATCCAGGCTGTTTGTTAAAAATGCAGATGGCCAGCCGGGCATTGGTGGCACATGCCTTTTGTGGTACATGCCTTTAATCCCAGCACTCAGGAGGCAGAGGCAGGTGGATCTCTGTGAGTTCGAGGCCAGCCTGGTCTACAGAGCTAGTTCCAGGACAGGTTCCAGAGCAATACAGAGAAACCGTCTCAAAAAACCAAAACAAAAAATGCAGATGGCCATCCCTCATTCCTGGTCTGAGGGCAGAGGAATGGGGGAGACTAGGGAAGCTCTTTCCTTAAGGATTTTTTAATACTTATTTTTATTGAAGGTATATATGTGTGTGTGCCTGCTTGTCTGTATATGCACCATGTACATGCAGGTACCCATGGAGGCCAGAAGACAGCATCAGATCCCCTGGAAGTGGAGTTGCAGCTAGCTGTGAGCTGCCTTGTTGGTGCTGGGAATTGAACCTGGGTCCTCTAGAAGAGCAACAAATGCTCTTAACTGCTGAGCCAGCTCTCCAGTCCCTTCATGTGATTCTTTACATGATTCTTACATACTTATGTATAAAAATGATCAAGGACCTCAATGCTTTTGAGGGGTGTCCTTAAAGAGGAAGCTGAGTATCATGGTTCCGAGGCTCAAGCTCTACAGCATTCTGGAGCCAAGACCCCAGCTCGCTTACTCAACAGGTGTTCCTAGAGCAGCAGCATTACCTAGAAAGTTGTCAGAGCAGCTTCTTGGGTCCTACTCCATATGTGAACAGAGTCAGATACTCCAGTTAGGGAGTCCCAGCCATCTGTATGTCCACAAGTCCTCCTGGCGATTGTGATGCAGGCTCCAGTGTGAGAAGTCCTGACACCAACTGAAAGACCTTGCTCAGTTTACAGACTCTCTAAGCCTTCTTTTCCTTACGTGCGGAAGACTGAAAGTACTGACCATGTTGAGTTGTGAGAGGAAAATGGCAGGAGACACATAAAGACCTTAGCACTTTGTACACATTTAATAAATGCCTACTACTATTAAGTAATACACTGCCCCTTGCCCCATGGATTCCTTTAAGCTTGGATTGGTTGAGTTTTGTAGTGGCAGTAGGAGTTCACTCTGTTATGCCATCCCATGCCTCAAATTTCACTCTAGTCTTATTTTGTACTCCATCCTAACCAATTGGAATGAGCCACACTTACTCCCAGACAACTCTCTATGTCTGTGCTTTCCTGCACTGCTCCTATTCTACCCTCCCAGAAGAACTTGCTATGTTCTATAGACATGGTCCACAACGTCTCCCAAAAGAACCAGCTAGGTTCTGCTCCTTCCCTGAAGTCTTGCTTGACCTCTCCAGGCCATATAAATGTGCCATTCTTTGAACTGCCACTTATCATCAGTGTTGTACATTCATACATGTGGCTGTGGCTTTTTCTTCATGTCTAATTGCCTAGTCTCTTTAATTGTCATGAAAGCCCTTGGGAAAGAGAAATGGTACTTTATACTTCATTTTACATCTCTTTCCCATTGGTCTTCTGATATTTGTTAAATGAATGAATGGAGGAATATACTTCCAGAAGAGAATCCAGTTTTTTTTTTAGGTCTCACTTAAAACATAAAAATAAAGACATTTCAGAATAGTTAACAATTACAGTGGCTTAGTTCTTCAACACCTTGAGAAATGTATTTTTAACAGACTCTACCTGTCACAAAAACCATTGTTCCTCTTTTGCAAATGAGAAGATGAATCCAGATCTTATTCATGAATTGCCAGAGTCTGTAGAACTAATAAATGGCATAGCTTGAGTTTAAGCACCTATAGTCTCCTCCATTTTTGCCTTGGCTACTTTGATTTGTATACATTACTACTGTTTTTATTTTTTGCTTTTTTTTTTAAATAGGGTCTCACTCTGCAGCCCAGGTTGTTCTGGAATGTTCCCTACGTAACCCATGCTGGCCTCAAATTCATAGTAGTTCTCCTGCTTTAGCCTCCTCAGTGCTGAGGTTACAGTTGCAAGCTACCATACCCAACTAGTTCTCAACATTAATGTTCACCTTTCTTGCATTGCGCTATAATCACAAAATTCCACTCTGAAAGTGAGCACTGCTCACATAATGCTTTTTGATACTTCAAGTGTCAAGACAAAGTACAGTTGAGAAATAACAACAGCCTCACCTGGTGTTCCTAAGCGGGCCTGGGCAATGGTCAGTTTTTCATGAGGTGCTTGGCACTGGCAGCTGGATTCATCTGCAAATGGGGCTGGTGCAGTCAGGGTCTAGAAGGGAAAACAGAGAAGGGGAATGAATACATTCTAATGAACTGTTTTTCAGCAACATCAACCTTCCTTAAAGTTTTCTGTTTGGCAGATAGGTATGACTAAGAATAATATAACAGGCCTTGATGGCTCACACCTGTAGTCCCAGAGGCCAAGGCAAGGGGATCACAATGAGATTTCCAGGCCAGCCTGAGCTATGGAGTGAGTTCCTCAATGTTCCACAATGGTTCAGGCTTCAAAGAGTGAGACCCAAGGGGTTAGGGGAAGAAGTAGAATATATCTGATGGGCCTGCCAGAGCAACAGTATCCTCCTAGAAATAAAGCATTGTCACAGACCCTTCCCCCTCCTCTTTAACTGATGCATCAGGAATATTAAGAGCAAGTCAGGCATGGTGGCTCACACACACGGTCTCAACACTCAGGCTGAGGCAGGATGATGGAGAGTTCCAGGCCAACCTGAACTATATAGTAAGACCCTGTCTTAAAAAATAAAAACAAATAAAAAAGAAGTAACAAGCTGCACAGTGCCTATCATGTGCCAAGTGCTAGATGAAATGCTTTGGAACTGTCATCTCTGTCTGGCATCCCAATACACTATGCTGCATACATATTCCTATCCTTCCATAGGATGCCATCATCCTATGCCTATTTCACAGAAAAGGCAACCGAGGCTCAGTAGGATTAAGAAATATGCTAAGTCATGCCCTTGAAAAAATCATAATGCCCAGCTTTGAGCATTTCCCAACCAACAAGGGCAGTCTTCAGATATTTAGACTCACCCATACCCGGGACACTCGGCTGAAAGGAACTTCATATTCGGAAGCGTGGCACGACATCTCCTGTAATACACACACCACACACACACACACACACACACACACACACACACACACACACACCAGCCTGTCCAATGACAAATGCTGATGTCTCTTCAGTGCACAGGCCAAGGCTGATATCTGCACCCGGAGAGAGCCTAAAAGCACAGTAATTCTGGCGGGCTGCAGATAACTGCTCCTGTGGTAGCTTCCCGAGCTACCAATGGCTAGAGGCCCCGCCCCAGGCAGCTTGGGCTGCCGCTCTGGGGAATGCTGTGAGAAAGATGTAGTCACTTGGACGCCTGCCCAGGAAGTGGCCCTGCATTTTTTAGTCAGCCTCTTAAAATGAAAACCTCACTCTCTCCAGACAGAAGAAGACAAAGCGGGTGGTGTTTTTGTAAACAGGGCAATCCAGGGTTGTCCATTTGCAGTTTTTGAGCTGTCATTACCACAGTCACCACTACATCATCCTGGGTTGTTGTTTTAAAGCTAAGGTTCACTAGTCACTGTAAACATTACTCACAGTGCTGCATGAATTGCTTATTAGAGATGGAGACAGGTGCTATTCCTTAACTTGGGAAGATTTAACTGAGGAAGAAGGATCTACACATTTGAACAGGAGATGTGATTTACTTCTGCCATTCATTTATTCCTATTTCTTCAATCACTCATTCATTCACTCAAATATATGGCAAGTGCTATCTACACTAAAATCTGAGGCTAGAAGTAGAGATAAGACTAGCCCAGTCCTTGGCTTTTTACATTTTTTCCTTTCTTTCTTTCTTTCTTTCTTTCTTTCTTTCTTTTTTTAAGACAGACTTGTTGTATATCCCAGGCTGAGTTGAACTCAGAATCCTCGTGCCTCATCTTCCCAAGGGCAGGGCTAGCAGGCTTGTACCATGATGCCTGGAACTTAGCCCCTGCTCTTGATGAGACCATGTTCTCTAAGACACCATGTTCTCTACACAGACAAAAACAGAACCCTGTCTTAAATACCTTCCACTCTGAAGCAGGAATCCTGCTGTAATTTTGTTGAAAGATCTCCTAGTTAGCTGCATGAGACTTTTGTAACTCCTACCCTACCCTCAGGACTCTGGAAGCAAACCAAACCTTAGGAAAAAGAATTGGGAAATGTGACTCCATCTTTTGTTTTTGTTTTTGTTTTTCACAGATACATTGAGGTGACTTTGTGGGCTCTAAAGGATCAGAGAAACATGTATAATGTGGCAAAGGAGTTCCATCTGTGTTTGTAAGACTAGTGTTCAAATATCCTTTGTAGCACTTACTGAGTATACACTTTAATTAGGCTCTTCTGGTTACAAACACTCACTAAACTTAGCTCAAGGGATGGGAGATTTATTTTAAGGCACAGAGAGTAGAAAGAGGAAATGGGTAGAGTGTGGCCTCAGCATGCCAAGAATGCTGTACCAACCTGGCTGTTATAGCATGTGCTTCCTTCTGCTCCAACCCCATCCTTCTGCATCCTTCTACCACAGTCAAGACTCTGCTTACCTTCCATTTCCCAGAACTTCAGCTTATATATGGCTTCCTCAGTCTCCCTTTACAAGCTGTCCTTAAGGCTGTTTTGTTTATTTGCTTGTTTGTTTGTATAAAGACAAGGTCTTGCCATGTAGCCCAAGCTGACTTTGAATTCATAATCTTCCACAGAGGTATAATAGTAGGTGGCCTGATACATGAAAGGCCCTGGCTATTATCCCCAGTACCATTAAAAAAATGTCATAAAGTAGAATCTTTTGGCTAAGTTCATATTTTCAAATAGGACACAACCAGAATTGGTTGGAGTTGTGGCAGGTATATTCTTGGGTTCAATAGTTGTGGCAGGGAATGTCATGGGTTATCAATGTTACCTCTTTAGCAGGAATTAGCGAAGCACGTGGTGAGAAAGTTATTTGACTTTGTATGTTCCTAAAAGCAAGTTCTTTAACTTATCCGAATTCAGCCTCATCTGTGAAAGGGGTAACTATCTTGCACGACTGTTGTGAGAAGCACAGATCACATGTACACTCTATCTAGTACCCAATAAATTGCACCTACATTTACTCTCCTTACTCATTATATCACACCTAGCACTACAGATTTTTATACAATAATGTAGATAGTGTAGTTCTCCATACAAACAAGAAAAATGACTTGAGTGCATTTTGACAACACAATCCAAATTAGTAAAGTGGTTACAAATGAGTGTGTTTATGTGAGTCAGCATGTGCTTATGCTCATGTCTGTGTGTAAGTCACAAGCATGTGGGTACCCACAGAAGCCAGAAGAGGGCAGCCAATCCCCTGAGCTGGAGTTACAGGCAGTTGTGAGCCACTGACAAGGGTACTGCAAACCCAACCTAGGCCTCCTGGGAGAGCAGCAAGTGCTCTGTATCTCTCCAGACCCAAATGGGAATATTTTCTATTAATGATTCATTACCTAGATCTGTTTTTGTTGTTGTTGTTTGTTTGTTTGTTTTGTTTTGTTTGTTTTGGTTTTTGGTTTTTGGAGACAGGCTTTCTCTGTATTGTTTTGGAACCTGTCCTGGAACTAGCTCTGTAGATCAGGCTGGCCTCGAACTCACAGAGATCCACCTTCTTCTGCCTCCTGAGTGCTGGGATTAAAGGCATGTGCCACAAAAGGCATGTGCCACCAACACCCAGCTACTAGTTCTATTTTATTGTTGTTATTGTGGGGATTTTTAAAGATAGAGTCCTTTGCCTTCCCCAGAAAACGGATGTCAGTTAGGAGGCCTGGGCAGTCTATGGGGCCTCTGGTAGTGGAATCAATATTTATCTCCAGTGTAGGAATGGACATTGAGAGCCCATTTCCCATGGAGGGCTACTCTCTCAGCCTAGACACATGGGGGAGGGCCTAGACTCTGCCCCAAATGATATGACAGACTTTGATGATCCGTCATGGAAGTCTTACACTTTCTATGGAGCAGAGGAGGGATTGGATGGGGGTCAGTGGGGGCATGGAAGGATGGAAGGGAGAGGTAACTGGGATTGATATATAAAATAGGATGGTTTCTAATTTAAATAAAAAAAGACTATCATTATAGTCTAGGTTAGCTGTAGCTTGCTATATAATCCAGGCTAACCTGGAACTCATAAACCACTTGCCTCAGTCTTCAAATGTTTGGATTAGATGTATGTGCCACCATACATAGCTGTTTCATTTATATGTGTACACGAACAGTGAATCTTTAGAAAATGATCTAAAATAAACAACTTTAGAAATATTTTATGTACTAGTCACAAAACTTATTAGACAAACTGTTGTTATTTCATAACAAAGGAGCATTAAGTAGGTGTGCCATTTAAAACAGAAATTTTTTAAGTAACAATATTTACTGAAAGCTGAAGATAGAGCTTATGTGTACTGTGCATTTTGCTGTTGATTTTCATGACCTGAAAGTAAGAAGACGAGAAAACTGAAGAGACAGAAGACACACAGAATCCCGAAGTGCGTAAGTGTGCTTGTGTGTGCCCTTGTAAAAGCAGTTGTCATGGAAAGGGTTATTTTCTGTAATATCCCAGACAGCTATACTTGGAACAGGGACAGTGTAAAAAGAAACAAGTGAATTCCTTTCAAAGTGACACAGAATAGCCCTTGGGTTGAGAATTAAACAATATATTGGAGCAATGAGATGACTCAGTGTGTAAAGGTGCTTTCCATGCAAGCCTAGAAACCTGAGTTCAATTTCCGGAACCCATATAAAGGTAGATAGAAAGAACTGACTCCACAAAGTTGTTCTCTGACCTCTACAGGTATGACCTCTATACTAAAAAATTACTAATAATAAATTTTAAATTAAAATTAATTAAATTAAATCCTATATTCACCAAGTCTTAGTGAGGGCTTGGCAAATATCAACTATCTCCTGTGACTTGAAGTAAAATTTTTTTCAGGGTAGACACTTTTGATTACAATTAAGAAGAAATCCTTTTTCAGGACCAGAACAAATCACTTGACTACTAAGGAATCTATGTTCATTGAGTTCTGTTTTCTCCACATACAAGCAATGGACCAACCTCAGAACACTAGGAAATAAGATTCCTGGAGTCTTCTAGGAGGAGGGAGGATGGGGCCAACTTGGTCTTTGAACTATCTGGATATCTATAAAGGGACCAAAGTCCCTACCTATTCCTCAGTATTTACCAAAGCCCAAATGTTTACTAGTATACTCTGATGTATTCCAGACATAGGCTTTTTGTAAGACACAAAAGTCTGGCTCAATAACACAGTCAAACAACTAAGTATTTGAATGAATATATATATATATATATATATATATATATATATATATATATATATATATATTCAAATACATTTACTCATTTAGTTTGTATAACAACTCTGTAAGATAGGTGCAGTGTCCAGTGTCTTCAATAGTGATTATCAATTGATCTTTTAGACTCAGTTGCCTTTTGGGCTCTCTCTGAACTAAGGAAATGCGCAAGATTCTTAGATAGGATGAGGAGATCCCAGAAAGAAAATACTGAAACTCCTGATAACCAGGAAGGGCAAAACCCAAACAATTAACTGAAGAAGTAAAAGCATGTGGCCAATATTCTTACCCCAACTTAGAGAAGCATATCTCACATGTAGTCACTGCAAACCTCAGCTTGAACTGACTCTAAGATACCCAGATCACATTTTCTAGTGTTTATTGGCACAAATTACACAATTAAGTGATGCTAGATGTCTAGCAGGTAGGCAAATAAAGGAACAAATAAGAAAGGCATGAAGGAAAAGAAAAGTGACTCTGGGGCAGCAATCTACCAAAGTGAAGAGTAGCCCTTTTAGAACAACAGAAGATAGTGGTTCAAAAGTCATGCACAATTTCCAGTCACTTCATATTTGTAATCAAATTCCCATTCTTTTCAACACACAAATCATGGAAATTAAGTGAGTAGAATAGTGGGGGGAGTCATCAGAACCATAGACCTCACCACTTTGAAGAACCATAGGCCAAATTGAAAGTTGGAGAAGCACAGGAGATTGTTGTTCAGCATGAGTGAGGACTTTCCAGGGATAAGAAGCCCTGGCCCAGTGCCCTGAACCTCACATGTACAAGGGCCTTGCGAGCCCACAGAACTGGTGCTAGGCTGCAGTATAAGTTCTTCCTGCTCAACTTAAGATCCCAGAACACCCAACCACTTCTTGTGAAAATGCTTCCCATTTGTCACATGTGCTCCAGTTATGGAAACTGTACCACAGTGCCATAAGAAAGCCATACAGAGCCTTTTAGGCTCTGTAAAGGGAAGGACATTGTTTATTGGACATTGGGTTTGTAGAATCTCTTTGATGGAGGCTTGTCAAATATTTACCTGGAATAAAAGCTGTTAGATAGACAGGTATGGAAGAGAGTACTCAAGAGACTGAGGCAGGAGGCTTATGAGTTCCCAGACAGATTAGGTCAAGTAGGAGTTTAGGGGCAGATAGGGCTACATATCAAGACTTTCACAAGT